CTCATCGAATGTGCCGCCGAGGTGAGGGGGGAGCGGGGCTAGGGGGGAGGCAGCCTGCTCAGGGCAGGAAATAGGTTTTTTTTTTAAAAAAACCCTCCGAGCTGGAAGGGAGACGTGCGTTAACTTCGGAAAGTTAATTCTCTCCTCTGTAAACGCCGCCTGCCTTTTGTTTTAGCTCTATTTTAATCTGTAGTTACTAACATACGCTACATTATCAAAAAACTATGATCTGCAGGGTAAGTACAATATTTAGGCGTTTAATATTTATTATTTAAACTTCGAGTGGACACAGAACCAAGAGAAGGGTATTATTTTCATCTCGGGAGCTTTGTACCACTGCAGGAAAGCTGGGATGTCAAATAGGCAATTAACAAATGGGGAAATGACCAGCTTTTCATGAGCAGGGTCTAGGGAAGCAAACCTAGAAATGCTCAGTGCTCAACAGCGAAAAAGAAACTAAGCATAAACATGTCACATTAACGACCAGACTTCCTTACTGAGTTTAGGGCAGGCTTACATTCCTTCGGATGCTTGTGAGTTTCTTGGAAAGGGCCTTAATGTTTAGCAAAAAAAGTCACTGAAATCAGTTTGCTTGCTTATTTTGAAAGCGGAACATGTGTCGCTTAAGTATTGACATGCAGGAAGAGAGGAGAATAACCAGAGTTTGGTCATCTCTGTTTCCGTAAGGTCGCTGTGTATGCATGCACTTGGTAACTATTGTCTTAAAATAACAAGTGCGTATTTGGAAATGTGGTTGTGCTGGGTATTGCACCAGTGAGACTCAGGACCTGGCTGTAATATGTGTGCCTTGGGTGTGTTTTGAGTCTCAGGTATCTCAGCTGATTTTTTTTAAGTTGTGAGAAATAAAGCATTTACAGAAGAAAATAATTGCTTCCCTTTGATCTAAGTAAAAGATGACTTAGGGAGCGAGTGGTCATGGTCATGACTGCTGCTGCTGAATAACTCTGATTTTGCTTCTCTTGTCATAGAATGAAAATTCTCTGTGTCCAAGACAAAGGAATGCGAAGGTGGAAGATCTTTGGAGTCTGACCAACTTTTTCGGTTTTGCAACTGAAACGTTTGTTTTGGCTGTTAACATTCTGGACAGATTCTTGGCTCTTATGAAGGTATTTTGGGGGGGGAGGACCTGCTAGAGTGTCAGCTGTTCCTGTGAACTTGTCTGACAAAAAGGGGAAGGTTGTGATCTATGAGATAACTGTGGCTATTGCCTCATTCTGTGCTAGCAACATTTCTGAAGTCCTCCTTTGTAAACTTGAAGTTGAGTACAGTTCTTACATGAAAGATGAGCTTACATTGATGTGATTTAACTGTTCTATGCTATGGCCTTTTTTTCCCTGCAAAGGCCAGTAGCAGCATGGTTTATTTCCTCTAACTCATCTGTAACCTTCACCACGTAGATGTGAAAGGCTAAGAAAGGAAGAATTAAGAAGGAACAAAACAATTTGTGTTGCAGACTATCTCTAGGTACTGTGTTAAAGCTTAGCTTAGCGCTGGAAGTAATACTAAACAATCATCTCCTGGATGTTTTTCTTTTTGTGTTTGTGCTGCTTTGTGGCAGACAAGTTGTTAACCTAAACCAGTTCCCCATTATTAAGTTGGCAGAAAAACTAAAGTTGCATCAGTTCTCTGGTCTGACTGTCCTTGAGGTTGCACAAAATGTTATGCTGGTACATGGGAGAGAATAGCAGAGGTAGGAACGAGTTGCGGAGGGATAGGACTGCCTACAGCGGGCTCAGGCTGGATTTGTATAGGCTTTAAAGGGGGGTAAGTGAGCACTGCCGCTTGGAGAAGCTGGGTATTACAGTTCTCACTGCAATTTATTTGTTGGGTAGTGATGTGGAGCAATTTCAGTAGAGGGTGCTCAGCTGTCAAACTTCCTCTGACTTAGCTGTGGCAGATTGATACTGCTTTATTTGCTCTACCAGCTGTGTTTTGCTGAAACTAATCATGACTAGGTGAGGTGTATGAGCTGACCAATGTCAGGTCTAGTTGAGATAAGCGAATCTCTCTTTCTATTGAACTGTGACTATTCAAAACAGTTCACCTAGGCCGGGTGAGCTGTTGGTGTTGCAGTTTGATAAGCACGGTGTTCACGGGGGGGAGGTACTCATAGTGCTTCCTTGTATTTTTAGGTGAAACCGAAGCATTTATCTTGCATTGGAGTTTGTTGTTTCCAACTGGCTGCCCGAGTAGTTGAAGAGGAATGCAATATTCCATCTGCTCATGAGATCATCCGGATCAGCCAATGTAAATGCACTGTGTCTGACCTGAAACGGATGGAAAAGATTATTTCGGAAAAGTTGCACTTTGAATTTAAAGCTACTACTGCCTTAACCTTCTTGCACTTGTACCATACTATTGTACTCTGTCATACCTCAGAAAGGTGAGTCGAGTTGCATGCTGGTGGTGGTCTAGATGTTTGCTAAGCCCTTTTTCTCTTTGCCTCTTAAATGATTATGGCATTGGCTGTAGAGGAGGCAGCTTCTTAGTTTTTACTCCTGACAAGTGAATGCTTGTTGATACAAATGCTGCTTCCCTTGTGTGTCTTACAGGAAAGAAGTATTGAATCTCGACAAATTGGAAGCACAGCTAAAAGCTTGCAACTGTCGTCTAGTCTTTTCTAAAGCAAAAGTAAGTAGAAGTAGCTCGCTTTGACTTCTGAGTAGGTTTTGATTCATGTCATGCTGAGTAGTGTTTTTTGTCCTTCTAGCCATCTGTCTTGGCCTTGTGCCTTCTCACTCTAGAAGTTCAGACTTTGAAATCTGTTGAGCTGTTTGAGATCCTTCTGCGTGTTCAAAAGCATTCAAAGGTAAATATTTTCTGTGGATTGTTCTTCCAGTTGTTGGGGCTGGTGCAGTTACCGATGTACAGTGTTATATTTAAGGGACCCCCGCTGTCGGTGTACAATCTTTACAGGTACTGTCTGGCATCGGCTGAAGTAAGCAGTGAAATGGGCCTTTAAGCATCTGCCTGCAACTCTTGTAGCTAATGCTGTTTGATTGGTAGAATGCCAAATGCAAAAAACCCTGCTGCTTAGAGAATGAGGTCAGGTATAGTCATTTTGCACGGGCACATCTTGGCAGCTGCCTGGCAAGCAAAAAGGATTATGGTTTAAAAAACTGGCTTAAATGTATAAAATCAGAAGAAATGCTGACCTAATGCCTACACAATACATGCTTTAACAAGCAGCTGATTTAACTTGTACAGTTCTGGCTGTGTGTTCTAGAGAAACTTCCAGTTGGTTCGTAGGACTATGACTGCTGAGCCGGTTACTCTTTTTGCCTGAATAACTACCATTGGATTTATAGCTTCTAGCTGCATGCTGTACTGGTTGATGGTCTAAAATGAGCTTTGCACTCCTGTAGTCAAATTGAACTAACCCAGTTTCTTGAGGGTTGTAAGTAGATCCTTAAAGTATGAGATTATTCCATTTGAGAATGGAATAATCTTGGTTTCATTTTTCCTTTGGGAAGTGATAATGAAACTGTTAACAGCAACTGACAGGCAAACTGTCAACTCGGACTTCAATGTGGACATTTCTAGGAGGTGCATAGGAGTTCACCTTCAAAAGCAGCCCAACTTTGACAAAGGTATCCCAGTTATGACTCACTTGTGTTTTGACTGATATTTTTTTTAAAGTCTTTTCCGGGAGGGTAAAACGGAGGGAGAGGTTATCTTCAGAGCCTGTGTGTAATAGACTAAATAGGTTCTTTTTTTGCTTTTCAGATAAGTGATAGTGACCTACTTTACTGGAGAGAACTGGTCTCGAAATGCCTAGCAGATTATTCTTCTCCTGAGTGTTGCAAGCCTGATCACAAAAAGCTAGTTTGGATTGTTTCGAGACGTACAGCCCAGAATCTACAAAACAGTTACTACAGTGTTCCTGAGTTGCCAACGATACCGGAGGGTGGATGTTTCAATGAGAGTCAGAGGTTGGTAAAACTGAAACCAGGTGGTTGATTTGCTGGGTATTTTCATTTTCTGGAAATGGTCATGGCAACTCTGTGTAACTAGGCTTATTCACTACTGCTTGGGAAAAAACCTGCTAGTTTGAAAATGCTGGTGGACTTAAAATATATCTTAGAAAAAAAAAAAAAGGGGGCACTGTCATTGTGGTGCTCAAAGTACAAGTGCTTTGCTGGGTGGGGGTGGGCATTCCTTTTTTTAAGGCAGGGAGGCTTGCAAAACATTTAAGTCTTCTAAAGTAATTTATATTTGTTATCTCAAAACAGTGGCTTCTCAGTTAGTAGGAGATTTTTGGCATTAGAAGAAAGGAAACTGTACCTTGTTATACTTTAAACCTTAGTGCTGAGAAGCGTTTAGATCTGGGATGCTCTGCTAGGAACAGAACAGCTTGCAGGAAGACACAGGATTGAGGATTACTTTGCTGCTTTCAAGGGGCTGCGCTTTGTTTAAATTACCTTTCCTACTGTTCCTTCTTCTAGTGAAGACTCCTGTGAAGATATGAGCAGTGGAGAAGAAAGCCTTAGCAGTTCCCCTCCGAGTGATCTGGAAGGCACCTTCTTCTTTGAACTCAAACCTAAAACAAAGTGGCAAACTCTTAGCTGTAGGTCTTAGCATTTAAGTCTCGATTGTATTAGGTTGAGATTTTTAAGGCACCATAGAGTCTTTTGGCAATAATAAATGAGGTGGTAATCTGTAAACTCTATTAAGGCAAGAATTGCTGTGGTATATCAATGCTTTGAATGCCTGCCTTGGGTTTTTTTGTTGTTGTAATTTTAAGGAAGAAAAAAAATCCCATTCAGGTCCCCAGTTGAGCAAAAAAGTTCATGTATAGTTCTGTCAGCAAGCAAAAACGTAGCCCTTTTGCCGGCGGTCCAAAACGGTTAACAGCCAAACACGTGAGCAGCGTGGCCTGGCAGCAGTGAAGGCTGATGGCGTCCAGGGCTGCGTTAGCAGGAGCATAGCCAATAGATTGGGCGAAGTAGGTTTCTTCCTTGACTTGGCATTCATTCTCATTTGGAACAATGTCCAGTTTTGGGCTCAAGACGTTGAGCAACTTGTGCAAGTCCAACAGGAAGCTGCCAAGATGGTTGAGCGATTTGGGGTACAGGACCTGTGAGGAGAGGCTAAGGGAAATTAGCTTATTTAGCCTGGCAAAGTGGCCTTTGGGGGAGAAAATGGGATTGAACAGCAGCCTTTTGGTATCTAACAGGAGGTTGCTGAGGAGGAGATGATTTCAGGGTCTTGACAGAAGCGTGGAGCAAGAATGCGAGGCTTTTGTTAAATTGAAATGTGAAGCTCTCAGTTAATGCAAGAAGTTTGCTCCGTGGGGACCATCCAGTGTGGGAGAGTGGACCAAGAGGGGCTGTGCAGTCTTTGTTCTGGGAGGTTCTCAAGATCTCAACGTGACAAAGCCCCGAGCTTGGTTTGAATTTGGCATTGACCCTGCTTTGAGCAGGAGGTCGGACCAGAGTCCTCTTGAGGGCACCTCCACCCTTTAGTTTGGGATTAGATCAAATTGGCTGAGTAGGTTAAGTGGAATGATACGTGTGCATAGCACCAGGCTGAAATGATTTACCGTCAAATGGGCCAAATACTGAAACTGCTTTAAGGCTTTATGTGCTGCGCTCCTTTTCACCAGGCTCTTGAGTTGTGTACTCCAAGCAGATTTTTCTTTAGACCTTGGTTTTTACAAACTTCAGGAATCCCTGTTTCACAACAGGAGTATGCATGGCAAGAAGGAGGTTTCCAGTCACTGCTAGTTTTCACTAAAGGGCAGTATAACGAGTGTGGCAGGGAGTAATTTCATCTTTTCGTTAATACAGATGTTTTCACGCTGAAATTCGCATTGTGTACTTCAGTGTGTTTTAAAATCTTAACTGTTAACATGTCAATCCATACTCTTAGCTGAGACTTACTAACATGGTAAACCTTGATAAGTCTACATTCCTTTTAATAGTTAACCCTTGTAGTTGTTTTGCAGTATATTCATGTTATTGATTGAGTCATAATCAGACTTGTTTGCATGCTTATGTAAAGCAGTTAGTGCAGGAAAAGTTGATATTATGCAGTAATATCAGGTAAATGTGACGTTGATGAAGTAGTTGATGTAATGGTTTTTTACTGAACTTCTTTTATCGAAGCACAAACTGAAGTACGATTGCGTTTCTCCGTATTGAGAACGTGGCTAGGTAGCGAGCGGGCTAATTAGCTGAGAATAATGGTGTGAAGTGTGGTGCCAAAGTAGGAATGAAGGAGCGAACAAGCTAAAGGCTGTTTTGTAGGTGCAAGCATTTTAGAATGGTAAGAGCACTGCCGTAAGTTCTTAACTGTTATGTGATTTCGGTTTTTATAAAAACACAAAAAGTTTACAAAAATGTATATAAAAATGTAAATGAAAAAAAATGTACAGAAAAAAAATTTAAAACAAAAAATGAGCAGAAAATACTGTATTTTTTTACGTTCTATGTAACTTTTTGTAGGTATGTTGCATGTAGATAGTAATTTATTGTGTACTCTGTATGATATAAATGCTGTACATGTGAAGACTTCTTGCCGCAAGTCTCTGCGCCTGGAAGCTCACTTCGGAAGTAGAGTTACTTCGGTTACAGGTAACGAACCTACTGAGTCTTGTTGAGAACAAAAATAAACCAAGTGCTGTATTTGTTAACTGGTGTGAGTTACGGTTGGTTACTTGAAGCTTTTTGGCTTGCTTTTTGGTTGTTTTTTTTTTTTTTTTTTTTTTGCTGTATAGCTTGTATGGTACTGAAGCTGTGTTCCAGGTTCCCCAGAAGTTCTGTTAGGCAGTTTATTAAAAAAAAAAGAGGAGACACTCTTGTCTGGCTTGCTACTGGATGTGAATCTCGTCTCAGCTTTGCTCCTATCAGTTTTAGAAGCTAGTGCGAGGTATCTTCCGCTTATCACCCAGCTGCAGCTGGGCTGTGTTGTGCCGGAATGAGTGTTGGGAATGGCGCATTTGCACATCTGGCAAATGGGAGCTCCCGCTAGTGGATAAGGTAGGGGGTCACAACAGGCAAAGCGTTCCGGGTTTTGCTGGATTTGTGGTTGCTGCCCTTCCCAGTCTTCTGAGGGAAACCTGGTCTCGGGATGTGTCTGCATCTCAGCAATCCGAAACACCCACAATAACTCATCAAAGGCAAACTTGAGCTAGTTTCCTTTTTGTCTCATCCTGCCCATCTTCCCAAAGTATTTCCAAATGGTGCCTGTGTTGCAAAAATTAAGGAGCAAGAGGCTGGGAAGGGTTCTGGCTGGAAAGATGTTCCCAGCCCTAGCCAGACTGAAAGAGGGAGTCGGGACCTGCACTCAGCTGCCTGCTGAGATGGCTGTAAGCATCGTGATAGACCTATTGCACCCTGTAGCTTGACACAGATCTTCCCTCTTTTTGTTCTTTTCCTTTCTTGTGCAAGGGATGGAGTGAGAGAAAGCACAGAGGTGCTCGCTCCGCCAAGCCAGCCTGCCTTCCAGCTCTGGCCGCCGCTGTTGCGAGGGGAGATCCTGCCTCGGATCTTCCAATGTGAGGGCAGGGTGTGTAGGCTAGGAATGAGTAGGGTGCTGTGAGGCTGACTATGAGTGCAGGGAGCACGTGTGGGAAGAATAGGGCCACTGCTACTGTTAAAATAATCCTCAGGTTTTTTTCTTTATGGCCTTCGTAGCTATTTTTTAAATACAGAAACACTACAAGGCTTCTCACTTCCCACATAGAACAGATGAGGGATGGACACTTGATATTCCTAATTTCTGTATGAAATTCCATCCAACAACTCACATACACCACTGAAAGTCAATTATGTGATGGAAGAACCGTTCACCTTCGAAACACGCACTGTAATGTTTTAAGAGCGATGGCTTCCTTGCTGGCTGTTGTGACCGCTTTGAACGTGAAAGCTGCTGCAGCGAAGACGTTCAGCTTCTACTTCAAAGGTGCCCACTCGGGTCGCCTCGGTACAGCAACCACCTCGCAGATAATGCGTGTGCTGCGTAGGTGGGCTGTTAGGAAGGTGGGAAGCCTGGCAAGGCAGGGCAATGTCCCCGGGTTCACTAACAGCTTGTGAGATCAGTCTGTTTAATAAAGCTTGAGGTAACACCATTCAGCCCCTTTCAAGTTTGTCCCAGCATGAAAAGAAATTTACTTGCAAGAACATTGTCAGGTGTACTTCTGTGGTTTGATAATTTAGGCTCAACTTTGATTTTTGCCGGGTCAGATAGCTGTGTATCCCTCAAAGGTTTGCCTGGCTTTGTTCAAATGCTGGTGGTTGGCTTGTTTTTTAACAGCAGAGCTGTGCGTGGTTTTTAAATGCTGTTTTGGGCTTGCTTGTACCGCGAGGTGAAACTTGGAATGCTGGCAGTCTCAAGAGTTTAAATACGTGCTCATTTTCATAACTGCTGTGTCAGTAAGAGTGGTTTGGGTGGGGGCTGGGGGGGCTGAAAGGGAATGTTGCTGTGGGGAAGATGTCCCCAGGGGCAGCCCCTAGCTTGTAGGGTTTTCGTATGAGCTCTGGGGTGTTGCTCCCTGTGCCTTTGTGAGATAGCGTGTTGCTTAACCCGTGTCAAGTGTAGAGCTGAAGGTTCACATGGGTGTAGACGAGCCCTGGTTTCTGAGAGGATCTCGAGATGTTATCGTGCCCCTCACCTGCTCTCCTGTGGCTGAACTGGGCCGCAAGGGATCAGTCGTGGAACCGCTTCTCTTCCTAGTGAATTGTCATTCCGTAATTAAATAATGACAACGGCCGTTTAAACAGGAAGCTCGACTTCACCGCTTGCTTACGTAAAAAGTAACACGGAGTGATAAAGCCTTTCAGCATAAATCAGTCCGTGGGTTCAGACCCCGGACCTTAACAGCTCCTTGCTTTTTCTGGTGGGATAAGTAATATGTTGGTCAGTGCTTGGAGCAGGCTCTGCGCTTGACTGTAGCGTGAAAGGCTGAACCATGCGGTACAGGAAACAGTTGATCTAAAAGACACCGCTGCCTCACAATCTCATACCATTTCTTTGCTTGCTTGTGAAGGGGCTGGACTAATAGGTGAATGCCTTATTCTTGTGATACCGGTTAACTATCAGGGCTTCCAAGCTCGGCAAAATGTGAATCCGTAGATATTGTAGCAAGACCAGGAGCCAGCTTCTGCAGCTTCTTGTTCCATGTACATTGCACAGGGCCTTTCAAAAGGGGAAATGTCTGTGTTTCTGTTTCCAATCAACATCTAACTCGCAGCTGCTGTCTTCAGCTCCCTAAAAACTTGATGCGTGTGAGATGGGTGACTCAAAAGACATTTTTTAAGGAGGTACCCCAGGGACCAGCAAAACGTGCTTCGCCTAGCATACATACGCTCGGAGAGCGAGATTGCTGTGCGCAAGTTAGTGGATGTGTTTACACACGAGCAGCAGTTCCACCAACACCGGGGAGGGACTGGGCAGGGGAGAGAAATAGGAGTGGTTGTGTAAGTAAGGTGTAAGTACAGCTGAGCAAAGCCTGTGCTGGGTGGTCTTGGTTATCTGAACTGCATACCACCTTCCAAACAGTACAAGGCATGGGTTTTGACTTCAGGTCTCGACTGTCAGGTTTTGAGCTCTTGCTCTGAACTCCTGTTGTGTAAAAGCTTTTCCGGAAAAGAGTCAAAATATAGATGAGAGAATGTCTGAACAGATATGCTGACAAAACTGCCATTACTACCTAGCTGCTTCACAAAATGGCCACTGTTTTTGCTCAAGCAGAGTGCTGAGTAGTGTAAACCGAGAATAGTTAGCGGTGGAGGTAAGCATGGGGAGTCATCAGCTGGGACAGCCGAGAGAAACTGTGTATAATGA